GTGTGTGTGTGTGTGTGTACACATGTGTCTCATCTGTTTGGAGCCTGCTGATTAGGGTAGGCTAGCTGGCCACAGAGTCCCGGTGTGTGTGTGTGTGTGTGTGTGTGTGTGTGTGTGTGTGTGTGTACACATGTGTCTCATCTGTTTGGAGCCTGCTGATTAGGGTAGGCTAGCTGGCCACTGAGTCCCGTGTGTGTGTGTGTGTGTGTGTGTGTGTGTGTGTGTGTACACATGTGTCTCATCTGTTTGGAGCCTGCTGATTAGGGTAGGCTAGCTGGCCACAGAGTCCCTGTGTGTGTGTGTGTGTGTGTGTGTGTGTGTGTGTGTACACATGTGTCTCATCTGTTTGGAGCCTGCTGATTAGGGTAGGCTAGCTGGCCACAGAGTCCCGTGTGTGTGTGTGTGTGTGTGTGTGTGTGTGTGTGTGTGTGTACACACGTGTCTCATCTGTTTGGAGCCTGCTGATTAGGGTAGGCTAGCTGGCCACAGAGTCCCGTGTGTGTGTGTGTCTGTACACATGTGTCTCATCTGTTTGGAGCCTGCTGATTAGGGTAGGCTAGCTGGCCACAGAGTCCCGAGTGTGTGTGTGTGTGTGTGTGTGTGTGTACACATGTGTCTCATCTGTTTGGAGCCTGCTGATTAGGGTAGGCTAGCTGGCCACAGAGTCCCGTGTGTGTGTGTGTGTGTGTGTGTGTGTGTGTGTACACATGTGTCTCATCTGTTTGGAGCCTGCTGATTAGGGTAGGATAGCTGGCCACAGAGTCCCGTGTGTGTGTGTGTGTGTGTGTGTGTGTGTGTACACATGTGTCTCATCTGTTTGGAGCCTGCTGATTAGGGTAGGCTAGCTGGCCACAGAGTCCCGTGTGTGTGTGTGTGTGTGTGTGTGTGTGTGTGTGTGTGTGTGTACACATGTGTCTCATCTGTTTGGAGCCTGCTGATTAGGGTAGGCTAGCTGGCCACAGAGTCCCGTGTGTGTGTGTGTGTGTGTGTGTGTGTGTGTGTGTGTGTGTGTGTGTACACATGTGTCTCATCTGTTTGGAGCCTGCTGATTAGGGTAGGCTAGCTGGCCACAGAGTCCCGTGTGTGTGTGTGTGTGTGTGTGTGTGTACACATGTGTCTCATCTGTTTGGAGCCTGCTGATTAGGGTAGGCTAGCTGGCCACAGAGTCCCGTGTGTGTGTGTGTGTGTGTGTGTGTGTGTGTGTACACACGTGTCTCATCTGTTTGGAGCCTGCTGATTAGGGTAGGCTAGCTGGCCACAGAGTCTCGTGTGTGTGTGTGTGTGTGTGTGTGTGTGTGTGTGTACACATGTGTCTCATCTGTTTGGAGCCTGCTGATTAGGGTAGGCTAGCTGGCCACAGAGTCCCGTGTGTGTGTGTGTGTGTGTGTGTGTGTGTGTGTGTGTACACATGTGTCTCATCTGTTTGGAGCCTGCTGATTAGGTTAGGCTAGCTGGCCACAGAGTCCCGTGTGTGTGTGTGTGTGTGTGTGTGTGTGTGTGTACAC